TCTTGATAAATAGCCCTTATATCGTGTTCAGAGGCCTATGAATGAACCTTATATTGAGTTCAGAGGCTTATAAATAAATTTTATATCGTGTTCAGAGGCCTATGAATGAACCTTATAGCGTGTTCAGAGACCTATAAATATATTTTATATCGTGTTCAGAGACCTATAAGTGAACCTTATAGCGTGTTCTCAGGCTTACTATACCTGAGAAGGCTTGAGTTGTTTTAGATTCAGCTACTAGGAACAAAAAAGTTCCAAGTAGCACGGGCTATGGTGAGCCCGTAGTGGACTTACCTGGCACAGGAGCGGTGCTGTGGGAGAGGGTAGCAATCTTTCACCCTCTCCTTTTAAGGCCTTTCTAGCAAAGCACCTCATCTCCATCCACCGATCCCCTCCCTCTATCCACACCCCACCCCCATCCCGACTTCCACTCCCTTACCTATCCCTCCCCCTGCCACCTGCGTATGTCCCGCATGGCAATTACCTATCCCACAAGATCATCATGTTTCTCTCCGAGCCATTGTCGCTTATGAAGCAGATCTGGTTATCAATGACTTGTGTGTGTATAATGATTTTTGTGAGGGTTGGGGCTTTCCCCCTCATTGTTCCCGTCAAAGGCAAAGTGAGGACACGGAGTAATGATTATGAGGTGTCTTCTGACTCTGTGAATGAATGAATGAGGTCATGCATATATGTGTGACATGGGATACATTGATTCATGCACCGGGTCTTAGTGATGTATATGTATTCTTGTCATCGTCAGGATACGGACGTTTGTATACACGCCATATTCATACGCAGATATATACGGTTGCTCAAACGCACGTACGCACACACGCACACACGCACACACACACACACACACACACACACACACACACACACACACACACACACACACACACACACACACACACACACACACACACACACACACACACACACACACACACACACACATATACACGCACTCACACAAACACACACAGTTTCTTTCACACTGATGCCCCCTGTTCTCCTAGCAGTAAATAGAAACCTTGAAGCTAAACAAATATTGCGGCCTGCTTCCTGTGGATGTGTGTGTGTGTGTTAAGAGAGAGAGAAATATATATATATATGTAGCAGACATAACAGAGAAAAACAAAAAGAGAACGGTTAAAAAGGCGGGGTCCAAGAGCTATAGTAGACACAAGTAGTAAACACCGCGGAACAAACAGTTCATCAAAGCTGAACAGCAGAGAATTATCTCTTCATCCTTTGGTCTCTTTTGTCTCATGGCCTTCTCTGTTTCCTCCTCTTCGTCCTCCTCTTACCCCCTCTTCCCCCTTCCTCCTCCTCCTCCTTTTTCCTCTATCTTTGCAATGTTGCCACTCCCCCTTCACCTCCCCCCCCACCTCTCCCCCTCTATCCCCACCCCTCTCCAACCATTCCCCCATCCCTTCCTAAACAAATCACCCCCCCTCACCCCTCATGGTAGGGAAACGACCTGAACTAACGCATTTCTCCCGTCTATTGCAGGTTGTTTAGTAGAGCGGGAGGGGAGCGTCGCCCCAGGCCATGGTACCCGAGCATGACCCCCGCTTCGACGCCCACCCCAACACCATGTCCAAAGAGGTGGGTGGTATGGTAGGACGGCAGGGTGGGGAGGGTATGGGGGTTTGAATGGTAGGGTGGGGAGGGTATGGCTAGGTATTGGGTGGGCATGGCAGGGTGGGGAGGGTGTGGAAGGGTGGGGAGGGTGTGGCAAGGGAAGGGGTGGACATGGCAGGGTGAGGCAAGGTATTGAGGGTGTTGCAAGGGAAGGGGTGGACATGTCAGGGTGGGGCAAGGTATGGTGTAGGAAGAGTAGATAGGGGAGGAGATGTGTGGGTTAAGAAGCTTACCTGACTGGGCTTGTGAGCTTGGCTTGAGGGTCAACTGGGCACCGATCCCCAACTTTCCGCCTCCGTAATTGTGGATCTGGTTATATAGTGTGATTTCCGGGATGTGTTCCAGGGAGAAACTAGTGTGAAGGTTTACCATGGGGTAAATGGGTAAGGGAGCGCTCCAAGCCTCGCTGACAAGCGTCAAAAATTGCCTTTTGTGCCTATTACTTAATGAAATAAGTAATAATATTATTGTATATTTGAAAATAAATTCTACGGGAATGTCCCACCTTTCTCCAACAGGCGGAGGTGCCCCCCGAGCAGTTAGAACCAGTGGACCTGAGCGTCAAGACCAAGGAGGACCATCTCCCAGGACCTCAGCTCGGCCATGGCCATGTCCAACCGCTACCCAGGCTGCCTGCGTGTCCGTCCATGCACGGACCCCCGGCCGGACCTCAGGGACCCCTGCTCAGGCTTCCGCAGTCCTCCGTCAACCATAACCTGCATCCGGAGTACCATAGTCCGCCCAGACCACCCTCAGGAGTCATCAATTACAGTCCGCTCAGGCACTCAGGGGACAAAATGCGTCGACCGCCGACAGATACTCGACCACCCATCACAGGCGACCATAGAGTGGCTGGAAGCCACATCCAAAAGTTGTTTTGCGAACGAGTACAAAAGGAATCATCGAGTGGTCGAGAGACGAAAGTGCAGGCGCAGAGAGTGCCATGTGAACCCTTAGGCCCACTTTCCGGCGATCTTAAGGCCACGGAGGAAAGAGTGCATAGAGTGGCGTGTGAGAGGCTGCCGAGAGTGTCGAGGGAGAGCGTGCAAAGAGTATCCGAACATCGGATTACCATCGGTCGCTCGGAGTGCGAAACGTCCAAGTTGGCCCTGAAACAGTTATCCGGTTATACAAAATGCAGCGTAGAGACGCGGGTATCTCCCAAGCCTTCCCCAACCTACAGCATCACGGCATCAACCACCACAACACCTGCTACCACCACCAACACCACCACCACCACCACAACCACCACACACCATTCACCCGAACTGTCGCCGTCAGCCCCGCAGAGCCTGAAGGTGGAGCCGCATCAGGCAGCGGTAACCTCCACTTCGTCGTCTTTCACTCGAACAATATCACCGAAGGACTCCTCGTCCTCCTCACCGAACGCGAGTGTGCTGGGGACCCTGGACCTCCCGGGACTCCACATGGGGCTCCCGCTCCAGGGCCCCAGCTTCTCCTGCGTCAGCCCGGACGAGCTGGTGGGGACCAGTGGCTCGCCTCTGCGAAGTAGTGAGTCTGCTTTCCTCCTGCGCATGTCCAGGTTCCCTACCACCCTGCCTCTGCCTCTCGGCTTGGATCTCACGCTTAAGTCCGGTAGGTAGTAGTTTCATTTATTCAAAGTTTGGAAACAAACGTTATTTATTCTAGTGATTTAAGGATGATTTATATATTTTTTCTATAACTTATATAAGAAAATATATACATTTTTTGCTGTTGATTTTATAGTATAATAATATTATTTTATTTTACTTGTAATTTGTATATTGAAATATATATTTAGTTTGATATTACAATGAAACTATAGAATTTTAATTAACTTTAAATTTAAATAAATGAATATATTTGTATTCTCATATCAACTTGGGCTGGACGGTAGAGCGACGGTCTCGCTTCTTGCAGGTCGGCGTTCAATCCCTTAACCGTCCAAGTGGTTAGGCATCATTCCTTTCCCCGTCCCATCCCAAATCCTTATCCTGATCTCCCCTTCCAAGTATTATATAGTCATAATGGCTTAGCAGTTTTTCCCGCTAAATGATATTTTTAATGATATTTTTTCCTGACTTATATTTTGTTCCTTGTTTTGTTTTCCAGAGCTAGGCAAGAGTCCAATAGACACTCTTAACATGAACTTAGAAAATGCCTTCCACAACGGAGCGACGCCCTTTCTCTCCTTACAAAGGATACGCGAAGCATCATTGTAAGTCCAGCGTTATATATATATATATATATATATATATATATATATATATATATATATATATATATATATATATATATATATATATATATATATATATACGACATATATATATATATATATATATATATATATATATATATATATATATATATACATATATATATATATATATATATATATATATATTAGTATATTTTGGTAGCAGTCTTTCCTGTAGACATATATTATTAAATATGACCGAAAAAGTAAGATTAATAATTCTAACACGAATTTTCTCGATCTTTCGTACGTTTCTTTTTACTGTTGGTGGTAATTCAAAAATCTATTCTCCAAAAATAAAAATGAATTTTGGAGAATTGATTTTTGAATTACAACCAACAGTGAAAAGAAACGTACGAAAGATCGAGAAAATTCGTGTTAGAATTATTAATCTTACTTTTTCGGTCATATTTAATATATATATATATATATATATATATATATATATATATATATATATATATATATATATATATATATATATATATATATATATATATATATATATATATATATAAGACTCCAAATATAAGTGTGTGTGGGACTCTCTATCTGTAAGATGGGAATATCATGTTATTTTACAAGAGTTGCATTCAACTCCTTATATAGGATCTCGGAGGCCACAGTGTTCACAGCGTAACGTTATTTCAATTGTGAATCGGTGCTGAATGGAACCAACTTTGAATCAACGTTATTTCAACGTTGAATCAACGGTATTTCAACGTTAATCAACGCTATTTTCAACGTTAATCAACGCTATTTCAACGTTGATCAACGTTATTTCAACGTTGATCAACGCTATTTTAACGTTACTCTTGCATATTGTGCCCTTTGGGATTACATGTATTCTCATTTTCCAAATTAAATGTTTTTTTTGTTTCATTGAAAATCTGAACACTCAAAACTATGGCCCGGGAATTGTCAAGTATTTACGCCACCACTTGCGGAACCTGTACATCTTTCCTTAATCATGGCGGCTTTGTTTGCCTATATAAAACAGTTTGGGAGCTTCGAAAATTGTACAACCAAAGTTTATTTTGGTTATTAACATTCTTGTTGTGGCTCAGAGCTCATAAACTGTTTATTAAATGTAAATAAACGAAAGAGGAAAGATGCACAGGTTTCGTAAGTTGTGAACAAATGAACAAATCCACAAGGGCCGTGACGAGGATTCGAACCTGTGTAATGTAGTGTAGTGTTCGTAAGTAGTTGCTAAAATACTTGATGAATCCAGGATCTGTAGTGTATATCTTACGGTACGATAAACACACACAGAGTTAACGTAAATATTATAACAATGATATGATAATGATATCCATTCATGATATGGATAATTTGTCTAGTTTAACTTAGTTTAGTGTTGGACTATAGGCCTATCAGCCTCTGGAGGGGTTATTAAGGGTCTATCAACCCCTGGAATGATATTAATTCTACCATTATAGCTTACTGACCAACCAGTAAGTATACTTCAGTCCTCGACGTAGTCCAGGACTGTCCATACACCGAGCAACAGCATACATCTCTCCTTCGGCGTACACCTATGATCACGACGCTAATCCTCTCACAACACAGGTTACAGCCCCGCTCCTGTGCCAGGTAAGTCCACTTCAGGCTCACCATAGCCCGTGCTACTTGGAACTTTTGTTTCAAGTAGCTGAATCTTAAACAACAACAACATCCTCTCTCAAGTATTCTCTCGGCTAACGAAGGTTCATGTCTCGCCCGGCAGAGCTCTGTATGGTAAGCGCTCTCTGAGCGAGAGTCCGTCACCGCCTCCCCTGTGTGTGTCGTCTGGACCCACCCACCTTCCCTCCCCGTCGCCGCAGACCGCAACGCTTACCTCATCCGCCGTCTCGTCGTCGTCTTCGTCGTCGTCCTCGCCTTCGTCTCCGCCGCCTGCTGTCACTCGGCCTCCAGGCCGAGCCCCTCCTTCGTCGGCTGATTACTCCGACGCCCTCAGACGAAGGAAGGCCCATCGGTGTGACTTCGAAGGTTGTGAAAAGGTCTACACCAAGAGCTCTCACCTCAAAGCCCACAAACGCACACATACAGGTGCGGTTAAAGTCCTTCAGTACGTTTTCATTAAATCCCCCCTCCCCCCCCAAAAAAAAAAGTCATTTTGAATAAGGGTACATCGACGCGAGTTCGATCCCATTGTACAGCCCTGGATATATATATATTATCATAGCTACATGGCTTTATTGTGGTTTTAATTTGCATAAATGGGGTGTTTTATATTTTGCAGGTGAAAAGCCGTATCACTGTACGTGGGATGGTTGTAAGTGGCGATTCGCGAGGTCAGACGAGTTGACCCGCCACTACCGTAAACACACAGGCCAGAAACCCTTCAAGTGCCAGCTGTGTCAGAGGTCATTCTCCAGGTCAGACCACCTCTCCCTCCACATGAAGAGGCACTGAAGGGAGCAGGACAAATGCTCTGACTCCTCAGATTGAGATCCAAGAGTCTGTGCTTCATCTGACAAGAGACGTTGTTATGCTGATGTCTTGCCTCCGCTCTCTCATCTCTCCTCAGTCTCGTGAGGAACTTGAGTGGGCGGTTACAAGTGCCAGGTGTGGTTTTATAAGTGCCAGGTGTGGTTCTACAAGTGCCAGGTGTGGTTTTTACAAGTGCCAGGTTTGGTTTTACAAGTGCCAGGTGTGGTTTTACAAGTGCCAGGTGTGGTTTAACAAGTGCCAGGTGTGGTTTTACAAGTGTCAGGTGTGGTTTTACAAGTGCCAGGTGTGGTTTTACAAGTGCCAGGTGTGGTTTGACAAGTGTCAGTTGTGGTTTTACAAGTGCCAGGTGTGGTTTGACAAGTGTCAGGTGTGGTTTGACAAGTGTCAGGTGTGGTTTGACAAGTGTCAGTTGTGGTGCAACTGGGGGCCTTGCAAACAGAGTCTGGACGCGGATATAAGTTTGCAACAACGCAGTCATACGGTCAACAAAACAACATGTACTCTGTATTTATTTGGTGAAAAGCCTCAGGTGCTATCGTGGACTATTTCTTCCACTGTAGTCCAGTTGAGACATAATTTTTTACAAGCTGTGATAGGTCTGTGCCTGTTAGTGGAAATTCTATACAGTGTTAGCAACCGCCTGTATTCCTTCGATTGATCATAACTTCCAAATGCGTCATCTCTAGCAAAATTTTCGTCCTTAAACAATCTCAAAAACTATTGAAATTTAGTTTTTTAGTAGTTTTTTTTTTGTAACAGGAGATTTATATAGTAGTACAGCTAATATATTTATTCACAGTCCATAAGCCATAATTCCCCCCCCCCCTAGAGGTTTATCAAGCTTGGGTGTTTCTGAATCGTGAACGTTAGTCAGTATTATTGACCAGCCAAAAGTATTTTTCCTTATGAAAATAATGGCTTGGTAGAGATGAATGTCAAGGTACCACCGTGGTATCTAGCAGGTGTCGAGGTACTACCTACACCCCCCACCCCCCCACAACACGTCATCAAGGCAGGAGAGTTAAGGTACCACGCTACCCATCAGTGCTCAGGTACCTTAGCAAGTCAAAAATATCTCATCATATCAATTTATGACAGTCATACCCACAAATGGACTAATGAGATTAAAAAATAAAATAAAAAAAAATACCAAACACTTAAATACTGAACAAGTTTACAATAAAAAAATGGATAATTTCATTTTCATTTTTGGGTTTTGCTGTCATATTCCTAGTTTTTCTCAGCATATCATATATAATTTATAATACCGATTAAAATGTATCTGAATCTAGTTAATGATTCGAAAGAGGAAAATAATATATATTTGTAATAATGGTGCTACTAATGGAACCTAAATAAATAATGTTTTAATAACATTGTGTTACAAGCCATCTCTCATCTCTCTCAAAAGGTTATATTTTTCTTATACTTATTTTATATATATATATATATATATATATATATATATATATATATATATATATATATATATATATATATATATATGTGTGTATTTATGTAGACAGGGTGTTTACAAATTATTTACTGAATTACAAGCCTTAATCAATTAATTATGGTGGTCTATCTAATTAACATGAGGATATTTTAAGTTGCGTTAATAATTACCTCAAACACCCTTAAGACCACTTTTAATTACAATGAATTTCATTAAGACTTATAATGCAGTGAACAATGTAGAGACGCCGTGTGTACCGTCGTCTCAAATGGCTGTCTGTGATTGGTGTTCTATCGTCCATAGATTAAGAGCTTCTGTTGTTATGATTTCGAAGTTTAAAGTTGTTTTTACGTGAAAAATATTTGTTGGTGCACCCACGCGCGCGCACACACGCACACACACACACAGACACAGACACACACACACACACACACACACACACACAGACACAGACACAGACAGACACACACACACACACATACACACACACACACACACACACACACACACACACACACACACACACACACACACACACACACACACACACACACACACACACGTAAGTCTGTGTCTAGATTGGTTGGGTTGCAAGAGGTGGTTGCAGTTATTAATGCAATATTGCGAAAAGGTTTAAAACTTACTCTGTCTTGTATCCAGTAATTTCCCTAGAGTCTTCTGGCTGTCTCGGGCTTCCAGGATTCAATAAGCACTCAATGTATCTACTTACGAAACCTATACATCTTTCTTCAATGATGGTAGCTTAGATTTATTTATTAAACAGTTCATGAGCTCCGAAGTGCCACGAGGTTATTTATAACAATAATAACCTTGGGTTGTGACGTTTCCAAACTCGAAAACTGATTAATTAATGTAAACAAAGCTGCCATAATTGAGAAAAGATGTACAGGTTTCGTAAGTGATGGCGTAAATACCTAATCATTCCTGGTCCGGATTAACGTCTATCATCCTCTCGTTAGTGTCACCAAGGTGAGAGTATATTTTAGTAGTATATCTACTTTTAAAAGTCTACCCCTACATCTCTACCTTGCTGTCGAAGTTATGTTCTCTTTCCAAGCAAACACGTTGTGGTTACGTTGCTGCAATGATATAACAACATTTTAATTAGGTTGGTACGATGTTGTAGCTAGGTTGGTACAACACTGTAGTTACGTTAATGCAACGTTGCAGCAACGTTGTGGTTGGGTTTGTGTTTACTATGTCGCTACAGATTGGCGTTGGTAAGACTTTGAACCAACGCGACGACGACGTTGATTTAGTGTTAATTTGGCGTTGCTCTTGGATATTGTGCCTACTGGGTAGTTTCTTAACGAAGCTTCCCGTGTCATCCAAACAACGTCGAGTCAATCTCTAGATGGCGACAAGGTATTTAGCTGCTCCTCCGGCGGCCAGTAATGATACCGAAGCACGATGTCTTTCCTGTAAACGTTCTTAACCATAGAGGTCTTGATAACTAGCAGGTCAGGGGGGTTCTAAGATAGCACAGAAAAGATAATTAACCTTTAGCGGATTAAAAGGGATGCTGATATAATATGAGACACGTTGGGATAGTTACCTAGACACCAGCTTCCAACTTCAGTATTAGACGGGGAGATAAAATGAAGGAGGAGATATAGCGAAGGAGGGGATACAGCGAAGGAGGAGATACAGCGAAGGAGGAGATACAGTGAAGGAAACAATGAATGAGACACAACAAACGTGACAGAGATCTTAGAAGCCGTGATGCTTCTAAGTGAAAATTTATGTGATCTTCCTTCTTGAGGTTATCTTGAGATGATTTCGGGGCTTTAGTGTCCCTGCGGCCCGGTCCTCGACCAGGCCTCCACCCCCAGGAAGCAGCCCGTGACAGCTGACTAACACCCAGGTACCTATTTTACTGCTAGGTAACAGGGGCATAGGGTGAAAGAAACTCTGCCCATTGTTTCTCGCCGGCGCCTGGGATCGAACCCAGGACCACAGGATCACAAGTCCAGTGTGCTGTCCGCTCGGCTCCCGTCTAGTCTCAGGTAAAGAGTGACAGAGAGGACGGGTCTGAGAATTAAGATTCTTGGACTATTGATCAAATCCTCGCGAGAGCCAAGGGGGTTCATCAAACATTTACGAAACCAGTACATCGTTCTTTATAACCATTAGATCTTTGTTTACATTAACTTAACAGTTTACGAGCTACGAAATTTTACAACCTAAGGTTATTGTTGATATAAACAACCTCGTATAGTGCTTTGGAGCTCATAAACTGTTATAAATGGATGTAAACAAGGCCGCCATGATGGCGGAAAGATGGACAGGCTCCGTATACGTGGCTGAGCATCGAACACACGCCGGGACAAGCTGCGTGAAGGATGCACCTCAGAGTCATGGAGCACCTTTGGTGCACATGGAGGGTTACCCCTGTGGGCCATGGGGGTGCTATATGGTCTCTCCCTGGGCCATGAAGGGTGCTCTCCCTGGGCCATGGAGTGCTATATGGTTTCTCCCTGGGCCATGGAGTGCTATATGGTTTCTCCCTGGGCCATGGAGTGCTATATGGTTTCTCCCTGGGCCATGGAGTGCTATATGGTCTCTCCCTGGGCCATGGGGTGCTATATGGTCTCTCCCTGGGCCATGGGGCGCTATATGGTCTCTCCCTGGGCCATGGAGTGCTATATGGTCTCTCCCTGGGCCATGGAGTGCTATATGGTCTCTCCCTGGGCCATGGAGTGCTATATGGTCTCTCCCTGGGCCAAGGAATGCTATATGGTCTCTCCCTGGGCCATGGGGTGCTATATGGTCTCTCCCTGGGCCATGGAGTGCTATATGGTCTCTCCCTGGGCCATGGAGTGCTATATGGTCTCTCCCTGGGCCATGGAGTGCTATATGGTCTCTCCCTGGGCCATGGGGTGCTATATGGTCTCTCCCTGGACCATGGGGTGCTATATGGTCTCTCCCTGGACCACGGGGTGCTATATGGTCTCTCCCTGGGCCATGGGGTGGTATATGGTCTCTCCCTGGCCCATGGAGTGCTATATGGTCTCTCCCTTGGCCATGGGGTGCAATATGGTCTCTTCCTGGGCCATGGGGTGCTATACATGGCCCCCTCCCTGGGCCATGGGGTGCTATACATGGGTCCCCTCCCTGGCCCATGGGGTTCTATACATGGCCCCCCTCCCTGGGCCATGGCGTGCTATACATGGCCCCCTCCCTGGGCCATGGCGTGCTATACATGGCCCCTCCCTCGGCCATGGCGTGCTATACATGGCCCCCTCCCTGGGCCATGGCGTGCTATACATGGCCCCTCCCTCGGCCATGGCGTGCTATACATGGCCTCCTCCCTGGGCCATGGCGTGCTATACATGGCCCCCTCCCTGGGCCATGGCGTGCTATTCATGGCCCCCTCCTTTGGGCCATGGCGTGCTATTCATGGACCCCTCCCTGGGCCATGGCGTGCTATTCATGGCCCCCTCCCTGGGCCATGGCGTGCTATTCATGGACCCCTCCCTGGGCCATGGCGTGCTATTCATGGCCCCCTCCCTGGGCCATGGCGTGCTATACATGGCCCCCTCCCTGGGCCATGGCGTGCTATTCATGGCCCCCTCCCTGGGCCATGGCGTGCTATTCATGGCCCCCTCCCTGGGCCATGGCGTGCTATTCATGGCCCCCTCCCTGGGTCATGGCGTGCTATACATGGACCCCTCCCTGGGCCATGGCGTGCTATTTATGGCCCCCTCCCTGGGCCATGGCGTGCTATACATGGCCCCCTCCCTGGGCCATGGCGTGCTATTCATGGCCCCCTCCCTGGGCCATGGCGTGCTATTCATGGCCCCCTCCCTGGGCCATGGCGTGCTATACATGGCCCCCTCCCTGGGCCATGGCGTGCTATTCATGGTCCCCTCCCTGCGTGCGCCCGCCATGATAAAACAAAATTATTACCTACTCTTAAATCATGTTCTTGAAAGTGAACAAAAAACAGTACAAATAAGTTACAGCTTTCTTAAAAAAAATTATTAAATCTCATTCTTCACTAAACAATGTCAAAACTTTATTAAATTAATAGCTTGACAGAGCACAAAAGTGTTTTTTTTCTCATAGTGATTGTATCTACTTTTACGACCTTGCTGCGCCTGCAATTATTACGTGAGCGACGATTGTACTAGCGATTGTTGCATTAGGTGATTGTTCGTCTTGGGGGGCAGGTGCTGAATTATATAAGTCCAGGTTCAATATTTTTTTTGGGGGGGTTTTGATCCAGTTAATTGCAGAAAATAATTTTTTTTTAGTAGCGGGGGATAATATGGCAGATGAGTTAAGCACATTAAATGTGGAAGATGCATAATTACTAGTCGGTCGGTCGTACGTTGAATTCCCCTTGACGGTTATTCATGATAATTTGTGTATATAAACGAAGATAAATATACTGACAAATAAATTGAATATTGACATCTATTGGAAATATAAACGAAAATGTTAGAGAATCGAGCACTGACTCTTTTAATAATATATAATGGTTAAAGACCATTTAACTTATTCACATTATGAAGCAATTACAGACGAAGCTGTACCGCCTATTGAAATTATATGCTTCAATTTTCGACTTTTCTGTTATAACTCCAACAGCCTGTTGGAGTTATACGCAACAGTTACGAGAATCCAAGATTTCATCATAAATAACCCTTCAATATGCAATGAAGCAGACTGCAAAAAAAAAAAAAATCCAATGAACCTGAATAGGAGACAGCTTCTTGCATCCCTGTAAACCGCAGCAGTTGCAAACAGTCTAGTGATAGAAAAAAATCTCTGGGGCTGTGCAATGGCATCGAACTCTCGTACGCAGGTTCGATCCCACCTACAGGCTCCAAAAGAATTTCTCATAGATACATCACAGTTTCCTGATCCCCCAGTGCGCATGGTGACAGTTTGCGTCATTGAGTTGTCACTCCGTATAAAGATCTGACCTCCTAATCTATCAAAGAACGTAGGAACCCTGACAGACTACCTAATCTATCAAGTCCGATTCATAGAAAACGTATATATATATATATATATATATATATATATATATATATATATATATATATATATATATATATATATATATATATATATATATATATGTCGTACCTAGTAGCCAGAACGCACTTCTCAGCCTACTATGCATGGCCCGATTTGCCTAATAAGCCAAGTTTTCATGAATTAATTGTTTTTCGACTACCTAACCTACCTAACCTAACCTAACCTAACTTTTTCGGCTACCTAACCTAACCTAACCTATAAAGATAGGTTAGGTTAGGTTAGGTAGGGTTGGTTAGGTTCGCTCATATATCTACGTTAATTTTAACTCCAATAAAAAAAAATTGACCTCATACATAATGAAATGGGTAGCTTTATCATTTCATAAGAAAAAAAATTAGAGAAAATATATTAATTCAGGGAAACTTGGCTTATTAGGCAAATCGGGCCTTGAATAGTAGGCTGACAAGTGCGTTCTGGCTACTAGGTACGACATATATATATATATATATATGTTTAGTGACGTTCCGTGACGTCTAGTGACGTCTGGTGACGTTTGGTGACTTTTTGTGACGTTTGGTGACGTCTAGTAACGTCGATGATTACCAGATCTCTCAAGCTATTTCATCACCAACAACATACAACGTGATCCCACGACGCGTAAGTGTCTCCGTCCAGAACTTCAGCTGCTGGCGGCTGAAAAGGTGTTTACATCTCTGGTTGATGCTCTACACAGCGCCCCCGAGTGTGGACACTCCGTAAACAATCCGACCTTCTATGGCCTAACCAGAAACGTACGAACCCAACCAACCTCCCTTAACCTATCGAGCACGATGCGTCAGAACACGGCGATATTACCGCGTTTTAATATATTTTTTTGAGGGGGGGGGAAGGGTTTGTTTTTGTTTGTGACAAGTACGTCATATTTGGACCGGTTTATTGGTATAGATGATCGTAGAATAAGCGACGCATACTCAGTGCCAAAGCGTATAACTGGCGTACCTCTGCTTATCGTTCACTCATGTGAGAATACTGATACTTGCGTTCAGTTGCTTCCCCCCCCCCTCCTCCGAAACAATATGATAAAGCTTCACATTAACGGAAAGTATTCGTGCGATCTGTGGATGGTTGCGGAAGGCATGATTTTGGGGCCGTACGTCAAAAAATAGACGAATTAAAACTCCCATTAATAAACTCCAATAATATATTTATAAATAATTTTTAAATACCTTTATACTTGATCTCGTTTAGTCACCTTCGGTAATTTCTTAAATCATCTTAAACCTTTGTAAATCATCTTAAATCTTCCTAAACCTTTGTAAATCATCTTAAATCATCTTAAAATTTCCTTAAACTATTTCAAATGATCTTACCCTCCAAAACAATCTTAAATCCTTTTAAAAACCATCTTAACTCATTCTAAACCTTCTTAAATCATCTTAAATAACCTAAAATCCTCTCAAATTATCAAACATTCTTAGCTCATCTAAAATTTTTTTTAAATCATTCAAAAACCTTAACTCATCTTAAACCTTGTATTGCGTTACAAACGTGGTGTAAGAGATCAAGATTACTACCACCTTGGCCTATCAGGGCGATATTCCTTCTTTCCTCGTGTGCCGTGAGCTGCTGTGTGTGTGTTAATTAAGTTTACAAATGGGCTTCTTGTCCACGTGTTCGGGTGTGGGGTCGTTCGTTCCGCCGGTGTGGTCATAATTGTCACTGTCTAAATGTCAATGTCAATAATTGTCAAATAATCTACTTATCGTCTCGTCAGCAGTTAAGTCTATCTGTCTATCGTCCTTACGGTGGTAAGGCATCGATCGCGAGGCACAATCAACTCATCTGTGTTAATAATTTACACTCCGCCATTCCCCTAAAAAAAAAAAGCTAATTTTCAGTATTCAGCTCATCTAAAAACCTCAAAAAAGTAAGGCATGATGAAAAAGAGACTCCAGTGTCGTCCATTAACTTAAGGATGGTGCCCTTTTAGATCGTAATTCATGTATGTGTGGCTGCAGTGTGATTACAAGTTATAATAATTTTTTTTTCCTAAAAAATATATATAAATTTAATAAATCTGTCGAGTAGAGGATTGTAGTATGGATGGTTCACAGATGTTCAAAACTGTCTGGGTAGTCTATGGTATGTATGATTCACAAGATGTTCAAAACTACTTGGATAGTCTATGGTAATTATGATTCACAGATGTTCAAAACTGTCTGGTTTAATCTACTTGTATACATACCAGAGTATACCCAGGATACCTGGGTATACTCTGGTATGTATACAGCTGCTGAACATTACCCGAGCCCTCTAGAATCTAAAGTGAAGCGCGACGATTCATCAACCACTTACGCAACCACTTACGCAACCCGTGCATCTTTTATCAATCATGGCGGCTTTTGTTTACATTAATTAAACAGGTTCACGAACTCCAAAGCGTTACGAGGCTGTTTATAACAATAACAAACCCTCCTGTTTCCAAGCTCGTAAAATGTTGAATAAATATAAACAAGGTCCCACGATTAAATAAGATGTACAGGTTTCGTAAGGGGTTGTGTAAATGCTTGATGGATGCTGGTAGTTCCAAAGCCGATATATGCTGTAAATAAACGTCTTATACAACTGAGAATGATAGATAATTATTCATCTCGAGGCATATTTCCCACCATTATATATTCATTCTACATTGTATACATTTTATATTCTTCAATGTATACATTTTGCAATCTACAATATATTCATTTTATATTCTACAATGTATACATATTGCAATCTAAAATTATTACATTTTACATTCTACAATATATATACATATTGTAATCTATTATGTCTACCTATTATATTCTACAATGTATACATATTGCAATCTATTATGTTTACATTTTGCATTCTACGGCGTATACAAATTGCAACCAATGCATTATAGGCGTTATTTGTGCTCTCAGCAGGATTATAGACATAATGCGAGGCCAGTACTCTCTAAGCACTTGCGTGATCACTTACAAAATTAATCTGTACCCCTTACAGCGAACTGACAATTCCCACAGAGGCTCTGTGGGCATAGTTAACGAGGCCCAA